GGGTTCACATGGTCTCATAGAAGCACATTTAAAGAAACACAAAGCAGCAACCAAATACAGTCAGGTTGGAATATAGCTCCTCTTAAAAGAATCCGGCTGGGAGCTCTTCTGATCTCCCTCCCAATGTGCTCACCCTTGCCCTCAAACCTCGCTGGCTGCCACCCCTCCCTCCACCCATTACCTTCCTTTCCCACAAATACCAGGTGCTCAGCCTCTCAGACAGCGGGTTTGAATCTTGTCTTACAGAGTCAGAGGAAAGGAAGTTGCTTTGCCTGAGCTGATTTCCTGCTCAGCTGCATTCTCTTTTTTGTTGTTGTTGTTGTCAGTTGTGAGGCTTGAACTCTGGGCTTGGGCGCTTTCCCTGCACTCTTCAGCTCAAGGCAAGTTCTCTACTGCTTGAGCCACAGCGCCACTTCTGGTTTTCTAGTGGCTAATTGGAGATAAGAGTCTCACAGACTTTTCTGCCTAGGCTGGCTTTGAACCGTGATCCTCAGATCTCGGCCTCCACAGTAGCTAGGATTACAGGTGTGAGGCACCGGCAGTGCCAGGCTCTGCTGCATTCTTTTGGTCCCATTGTTATACACAAAAATCTCCCAGTTACCAAGGGGTTTGAGTTTGGGTTTCGTGGCACTGGGGATGGACTCAGGGCTCTGCTTACCTAGGCAATCCTCTGCCTCTGAGCTCCTCCTGTGGCCTGCAGTATTTTATATCTGTGGTCTCAGAGCTCCTTTGTCACCCTACAAGGCTCTGAGATGAAACTATGCAGTGAGCCCGGCTCACGCCTGTAACTAACTGAGGCTGAGATCTGAGGATCGTAGTTTGAAACCAGCCCAGGCAGGAACGTCTGTGAGACTCTTATCTCCAACTAATGATAGAAAAAGCCCAAAGTGGTGCTGTGCCTCAAGTGGTAGAGTTCTAGCCTTGAGCAAAAAGGAGCTCAGGGCCAGCACATAGGCCCAGAGTTTGAGCTTCAGGACTGGCAAAACAAAAAACAAAAAAACGTAGGCAGTGAATGATGGAGAGAACTTAGTCATGGCTTTCGCGCCCCAGGTCAGCCTACTTGGGAGAGCAAGGGTTGGGGTTCATCTAAGGCCTGCTTGCTTTTAAGGTCCTATGTTCCCTTTAGTGAATATAAGATTCAGAGGAGGAACGAGCATTAGGCATCTGGGGCTACCTATGTCTGCTTTACCCCTCTGCCACCTGAAACAGGCTTCAGCCAGCTAGGTAAACCCCAAACTCACCCCCTTACAAAGATCAGCCAAGTGCTTTCTCAAAAAGAAATCATAAGCTGGGTGCCCAGATACAATCTTAGCTACTCAGGAAGCTGAGATCTGAGGATCACAGTTAGAAACCAGCCCAGGCAGGAAAGCCTGTGAGATTCTTATCTCCAGTTAACCACCCAAAAGCTGGCAGTAGAGTTTTGTGGCTCAAGTGGCAGAGTGTTAGCCTTAAGCAAAAAAAGCTAAAGGCGAACCTGAGGCCCTAAGTTCAAGCACCAGTAGTACTAGCACAAAAAAAGAAAGAGAAAGCAAGCAAGCATGAGTTCCTTGGGAAGATACTTCTCACACCCCCTGTGAGAATTTCCACTCTGTGCTCTATGTCATGGAGCGGGGAGGAGGGGGGGGATGGAGGTGGTCAGAATAGCCTGTCAGGCCCTGGGCTTCCCGTTTCCAAGGGTGGATGGAGCTGTTCCTGTGTCTCTGGATTGCAAGATGTCTCCTCTCCCTTTCCTGCTCCTCCATCTATCACAGGCCATCTGTCCCTGCCCAGCCCACTCACAGCCCTTTTAATAGCAGCTCCCTGGGGAGGATGGTCTCGGGGATCCCATAGCACACTAGGACACCCCAGTGCTGCCCACGCATTGAATTGAGATGGTGTGAGGGAGGCGGGTGTCTCAGAAAGTCCTCATGGGAAGTTTCCCAAGGTGGGGACCCCCCCCCCCCGCTTTCAGCTCCCCACTTGGGTGGATGGAAAAGTATGCACACATCAGAAAGGACAGAGAAGGGAGGGGGCCGGGAGAGGGGAAAGGACGCCTTTCTAAAAATACAGCCCATCTGCATTGTGTTAGCTGGTTTCCTGGGAAACCACTGGGAACCACAGAACCAGTGGGGCCGGATGCCTGGGACTAGGGACCCTCTTGGTGCTAAAGATGGGGTCCTCCTTTGGGGCATCTGCCCTCCCTTGGGGAAGATGGCCAGCTGCTCCCCGCTGGGTCAACACTTCCAGATAGATCTGTAAGGCCTAGCACTGTGGCCCTGGCCGCCCTTGAGAGGGCAGGGAGCAGGGCAGCCCTGCCACCAGAGTGCTCTCCAGCCTAGCCCTGTGCCGAGAGGCTGTCTTCGGTCACTGTTCTCTGCGGGAGAAGTTAACTGAGGGGAAGAGGGGGGCGTGGGTGAGGAGAGGGGAGGGGAGGGACATCTAACCAGCCAGTGACTGACAGTCTTCAAGACAAAAGGGAAAGTCAGGTTTTGCCCTGAAGAAAGGCTGGGAATAGAGTTGGAGAGGACTAGAGGAACCCCAGACCAGGGGCTGCCACACCCCAGCTGAGTACTGAGCCCAAGGCCAGAGCCCAGCCTTGGCCTACGCTAGGCCAACAGTTGAGCTGTTTTTAGCCTCAGTTTCCTCATCCCACTTCTCCCTCCCCCTGAGGATGGAGTACAATAGCACAAGCAAGTACTTATGAGTGATGAAATGCTTTGTATACAAAGAGGAAACATTCCTAGTCTCCAACTAAAATTAATGTTTAGGGTCCTTTTTTTCTAACTTTAGACCGGACACCCTTCACCTTTCCATCTTCTACCTGGGAGTAAAGCCTGGGAACTTGATGTATTTATTTATTTTTGAGACAATTTCACTTTGTAGCCTGGGCTGGCCTTGAATTTGAACTGCTGGCAGAATCTTTTTTTTTTTTAATTGTGAAAATACCATACAGGGGGGTTACAGTTACATGGGCAAGGTAATGAGTACATTTCTTATCAAGCATTGTTGCCTCCTTTTTTTCCCTTCCCATCCCTTCCCATCTCCACACACACACACCGAAGTTGTAAAGTTCGTTTTTCAACACAACGTCTTGTACATCTCATTGTTGCAATAGGTCCACCTGCATCCCTATTTAAACAATTTGATTTTTCCCTTCCCCTCCACAAATTATACTAACATCAAATGCAGTGAAAACAGGGGTTATACCATGGGGGAGGGACATACAAAGCAACAAAAAAAAATCTTATAAATAAGAAACAATCACAAGAAAGAAAAAAACATTTGAGTCCTTATCTTGGGGTTCATTTCGCTTAATATCAACTTATCTGACCGTTTCTGCTTGTCTCAGACATATTCTAGTAATTGCAAATAAGGGAAACTATGGGACCTATGTTTCTTTGGGCCTGGCTTACTTCATTTAATATAATTTTTTCCAAGTCTTTCCATTTCCTAACAAATGGGGCAATGTCATTCTTTCTGATGGAGGCATAGAATTCCATTGTGTATAGATACTACATTTTCTTGATCCATTCATCTACTGAGGGGCATCTGGGTTGGTTCCATATCTTAGCTATGGTAAATAATACTGCAATAAACATAGTTGTGCTGGTAGCTTTAGTATGCTGTTGTTTGTGATCATTTGGGTAAATGCCCAAAAGTGGGATTGCTGGGTCATAGGGGAGCTCTCTGTGTGCTGGCAGAATCTTTTACAACATTTTAATTCATTTTGCAATACTGCCTTCCAGAAAGATCTATCAGTATATTACATTGCTATGATATGTCGGTTAACTATGTCACCATCTGTTTTGTAGCTTGCTTTGCTTGCAGATGTGGCCGGTTCTGTTGTCCAAGAAGAAGATTCTCTTGTTTTGATGTGAACTTCTTTGACTTTTAGTGAGCCTGGGTGTTTTTTCAACAATTTTAACAGACCGGTTTTAATTTTATAAATTCCCAGTCCTTGGCTGGTTTTCCCTGGGTAGATTTCTCTCGTCCTAAACTGCAAGTGGGGGGGGGGGGGCGGTAATACTGCTGGTCCTGGAGGATTGCAGATCCTGTGCCCTTGTCTTTCTGCCTCCCTGGCTCTTACACACATGTGTGATTTTTTTTTTCTCTCTGAGGATCAAAGGCCCAAGGGTCTCCCTGGAACTTGAACTTGGGACCTGGGTCCTACCATCCAGTCTGTGCAGGCTGAGGGGTCTCTGCGGGTGTTCTGACCTGCCAGCCTCCTCCAACATCATTCTCCCTGCCACCCTGTGGCAGGCGTATCCTTCCAGCCTCAAGAGAGCCCTCAGCTCCACTCCTCTCTGGCCTCTGATCCCAGAGCTTCACTATCTACTTCGTGCCCCTGGGCCTCTACAGGGGACCTCTGTCTGCTTTTGATCATGCCTGTGTCCCCCACCCCTACACCCCCCCACACACACCCCAGGTACATCACTGCATCTGAATAAATACAGAGTTTTGCTTGAAACCATTTTAGGGATCATATGTTGCTTTGTTTGTTTTGTTTTATTGCCCATTTGTGAAATAGGATCTTGGTTTTTGCCTGGGTGAGCCTAGCCTGGACCAGGATTCTCCTATTTAAGCTTCCTACAGTAGGTAGGATTGCAGGCACAAGCTACTACTCCCAGGTTCTTCTGTTGGGGTGGGGCCTGGTGAATTTTTGGCCAGGCTGGCCTGAAACCATGATCCTCCTTATCTGTGCCTCCTAAGTACCTAGGATTACAGGCATGAGCCACCCATCCTGAAGTTTGACTTTTTTTTCTTTTCTTTCTTCTTTTTTCTTTCTTTTTTTTTTTTTGCCTAATATATACCTCTGTTAGTTTCCTGTGGCTTGCTATTTGTCCTTTTAAGAACCGTTAATATAAGGGCATACACTGAGTGGAGCGAGCTGATCTTGTGTAAGAATCTGTGTGCCTCCCCCTGCCAACATCACTGAGTGCCTCTGCTGAATCCCCACCCTGGTCTGCAATGTCCTCAGGAGTTCCGGATGGAACCCAACTTCATCCTCTGTCCCTCCTTAGGGCTCCTGCTGCACGACATGACGATGGCTGGTCTTCAAGAGCTGCGATTCCCCGAAGAGAAGCCTCTGCTCCGCAGCCAGGATGTCACTGAGCTGGTGAGTTGCCTTTTGCATCCTGGGACCGAGAGTGCCACCTTGTGGCAAAGAAGGAAATTGTGCTCTTTCTCTGCCACCTTGAAAGTGGTAATGAGCTGAGCTGGGTACCCTGGGCAGCCTTGTCCCTGCCTTGAGACTCGAGTTTGGGGGCCACCCTGAGTCCCCAGCCGGCCTCACTGTGCCTTCAGCTGCCCTTAAGGCTGGAGTTCTTCAGGAGAGACGTCTCCATTTGAATGAAAATGTAGGCAGAAAGAACTCACTTGGCTATATGATAGAGCTAGAAGCGGTCCAAGGGCAAGCCTAACCCAAGTGCAACCAAAAGCCTCGAGACTGCCGCGCGCCGGTGGCTCACACCTGTAATCCTAGCTACTCAGGAGGCTGAGATCTGAAGAGCGTGGTTCAAAGCCAGCCTGGGCACAAAAATCCGTGCAACTCTTATCTCCAATAAACTGCTCAGAAAACTGGAAGTGGCGCTGTGGCTCAAGTGGTAGAGTGCTAGCCTTGAACTGAAGAGCTGAGGGACAGCGCCCAGGCCCACAGTCCAAGCCCCAGGACTGAACAACAACAACAAAAAGCCTTGAGACTGAGGCACTCAAGGCTATCTATCCCCTTAGTCAGAGGACCAGGTGCTGGATTTAGAGTTCCTCCTGGCTCACACTATCCTGTGCCAAGTTTAGGGCTTCAGGGCTGGGCGTCCCTGACGGTCATTTGCCCCAGCCCTCCTCATTTTGCAGATGGGGAAATGTAGGAACCAACCCTACCCCCTCACATCTTCAGTCCACTGTTCTCCCACAAGGAGGCCAGCTCAGGGAGCATTGGGGGGCTAGCACGGGCCCAAGCAGCCAGCACCCTAGGGTCCAACAACATGAAGCCATAGTCCTGTCCCTGACAAGGGTGGTCTTACCTTAAACATTAAGAGTGAAGTGCTGGACTGGGTTATTGAAGACTGGCCCTCAGAAGCTGGCAGGTGCACTGTGAACTAGAAAGCCCTGTGCTGAGTTCCCGCACAGCAGTCCCTGCCCCTCTTCCCATCTCCTGCCAGGATGCTTGCAGGAGGCTCCTCGCTGCGCTCCAGCCTGTGCTTCTGCTCTTGTTCTGCACAACTCTTTAAAAAATGTCTCATGTCTGCTTAAAACTTGCCAACGGGCTGCCATCTCCCTCAGTGACAACCACCATCTTTCTTAGGACCCAGGGTATGATCTGCACCCACCCTCTGCCCTTCTGCACCCCTAGCTCCCTCCTTCCAGCCTCCCTGTGGCACGTGCCCGCCATTTTTCCAGCTGCCTTCTGTGACTGAGGTAGGGAGTGTGGGATGGTGTGAGCACAGGAATTTGCACGGCTGGCTCTTCATCATCCTCAAGGCCCCGCTCAAATCTCCCTGGGAGGTCTTCACTGTTCCCAGCCCTAGCGTACACCACTGTCAGACCCCACGGCCCAGACTCGGGGGCAGCTACTGGGGCTGTTGGCCACCAGCTCTCCCCAGAGCCCCGCGCAGCACCATGCTCCTGGCTGGCTGTGAGTAAAGATGTGAACTGGGTGGAAGCCAGCCCAGGCCCTCTTCCCCACACCAGCATCTTTCAAGGCATGTGAACAGAGAGCTCTTGTGGGGTGCCATGAGGGCAGGTCGTCTCCCAGGGGAACCCCTCATCCCACCACAACTGCACCAGGGGAGCAGTTTGCAGAGCGGCTGGTACAGCGTGAGGCATGTAACTGAGGCCTTAACTGGCCCCAGGGCACTGAAGAGAGCAGAGGGTATCTTGTCCTGATCCCTTCGTGCCTGTGTCTCCCACTCCTCACTCAGCAGGATACCCCTTGCTACCCCCGCCACACACCCTGACTCATGAGCTCTTCCTGCCAGAGCAGCCTGCCACAGGACCAGAGCTCACCACCATGGCTATGAACCCCTGCATGAGGGACTGTGTCTCAGACTTCTATGATGGCCTGGCTTCTTTCTTGAGACAGCACAAGCTTGGAGCTCCCAGCAAGGGCTTTCCGTGTCGGCCCTCTGTCTTGGAGAGCTGCTCTTATTTGCTGTATTCCAGGCTGAGTTGCTAGCACTCAGCCTCCATAGCTTCCCAAGGGCCACCCCTTCCCTCTCTCCCTCCCTCCGTCCCTCCCTTTTTCCCTCGCTCCCTCCCTCCCTCCCTTCCTTCCCTCCTTCCTGTACTGGGCCTTGAACTCTCAGGTTCTAGGCATTGTCCCTCAGCTTCCCCCCCCCTACCCCACCCCCCCCCCCCGGTCAGTCGTGGGGCTTGAACTCAGGGCCTGGCCACCTTCTCTGAGCTTTTTTACTTAAGTATAGGAATCTATCACAGCGCCACTTCCACTTTTCTGGTAGTTAATTGGAGATTAGAGTCCCACACTTTCCTGCCCGAACTGGCTTTGAACCTCAGTCCTCAGATCTCAGCCTCCTGTGTAGCTAGGATTATAGGCATGAGCCACCTGCATCTAGCTGTCCCTTAGCTTTTTTGCTTAAGACTGGCATTCCACCAGTTGAACCACAGTTCCACTACTTGCTTTTTACCAGGTTTCAACCAACCATAGAGGGAAAATGTTGGAGAAAAGAATCAAGTACTTATTGAACATGTACAGGCTTCTTTTTTTGGCAGTCGTGGGGCCTGAACTCTGAGCCTGGGCGCTATCCCTCAGCTCTTCAGCTCAAGGCTAGCGTTCTACCACTTGAGCCACAGCGCCACTTCTGGCTTTTTTCTTTTTGCTTATGTAGTGCTGAGGAATCGAACCCAGGTCCTCATGCATGCAAGGCAAGCGCTCTACCACTGAGCCACCTTCCCAGCCCCAGGCTTCTTTTCTTGTCATGATTCCCTAACAATACTACCTAACATGAGGTACTCTGGACCTGATTTAAATTCTGTGAGAGGATGTCCATAGATCCTGTGCATATACTAGGCATTTTGCACAAGGCACTTGAACCTCTACAGTTTGGTATCCACAGAGAGCTCTAAAACCAGTGTCCCACAGATAGAACGCCTCCCGAGCCTCATGCTCTTTAGGCTGGCTTGCTCTGGAGTGTCCAGTACCAGGTGGGAGCCTGTCTTCCCCTTCTCCAGGGTCTGGGCACCTTTCCTGGCCCCCATTCCCAGGCCTTCTCCCCGTCTCTCAGCAGGACCCTCTCTGACCCCCGTGTTCTGTGAGCTTGCTCAGCCCCACAGTTTTGGAGGTGGGGTTTTGAGTTGGCTCTTTTTTTTTTTTTTCCTGCTGTTTCTTGACTTTGAATCCCACCCCTCCCACACTCTCCGTCTCCTGTGCCCCCAGCCAGCCCCCTGGGAGCACACCGCACACCCTGCCATTATCTGCCTCATCCTTTCTGTCAGATTTTGTTTTTTAAAACCTTCCTCCTACTTCCTCTTCAGAGATAATTACCCGCTTTTAGGTTTCCAGTACAGAAACCTCCCACACCTGCACTTTCCCGCCCCTCCCAGAAGACCTTTGGGTGAGATCCATCCATGACTAGCCCCGCCCCCTGTCCCTGTCTCTGGTGGTATCCCTTTCCTTGGGTGGATCAGTGGGGAGGCCTAGCTAGGTACAGCCATTCTTGATGTGGACTAGGCTGGCCTCTAACTCCCAGTCCTCCTGCCCCAGCCTCCTGATTGCTGGGCTTGCAGGTGTGTATGCTACACCTGGAGAAAGTACACTCATTCTTTATGAAACAGTCTCAAGCCACTGGAACCTGGCTGAAGACAGTCCCTGGTGCCCTCTGACCTCCATACACCCCCACATACACCTCCCCTCCCTCCCCCCCCCCCACCAGAATGCAGGTGGCTGGACTTCCTCTTCATTATAAGAAAAAAAAAAAATCAGAATTATCAATTGATTCTTCTTCCTGTTTGGAGCATGGGGGGCGTGTCTTTGTCTTTATTGCATATCTGAGCCCACCCCTTCTCTTGCCATCTTCCAGTAGCCTTCTGTTTCTAAGTTGATTGACACAGACTTACTAGGAGAACCAATAGCATATAAAGGACCCAGTCTAGGCTCAGGCTCAGAGACCTGCCTGAAGCTCCCTCACCAAGCCTTAGCAGAGAAGTTTCTAGACTAGCACAGAAGACACCCAGGGAGACCCAGAGCTCTGCATTCCCTTGGCAGCTGCTGTTCTGGAGGAAGGTCTGAGCTAGCCCACAACCTGGTCGCACAGTGGGAGATTAACAGGGATTGTGGGGGGGGCGCATCTCACCTGAGAGCCAGGCTCCACTACAGAGTTGGTCAGGATGCGACTCACACGTGAGTTCAGGCCTGACCCTCCACCCTCATGAACTCCATCTGGAGGTGCCCCCAAGCCACTCGCTCCTCGTTAGGAAGTCCATCGTCCAGATCCTGTGTGTCTGGGAGCCAGTTCCAGCCCAGGCTTTGTGTTGAGCACAGCGAGGCATGATCCCACCCTGGAGTCCGGTGCCAGACACTGAGCAAAGGCAGGGCTGCTCAGTGACACACATTCCCAGGTGACTTGAGGGGGTGCAGCAGACAGTGTCCCTGGCCCTGGGGACAGTGCTCAGGTTGGGAAAGTCAGCGTTGCTCCTGCTGAACGGTCCCCAGCATTACTTGGCTGTGACAATCAGACCTCAACCCTCCCTCCTTTCCTCCCTCTGCCCTGTGCCCTTTCCCCTGCCGGACCGAGGGAGATAGCTCTGATGGAAGAGGGCAAAGTGACCAATAGCCAGACTTGGAGTCAGAGGTTCTAGCACTTTCTGGCCCTGGGTTCCCAGCCCTCTGAGCCTCAGCCCCTCACCTGTACAATGGAAACGTTTGCTTGCACTTGATGTTGATAAACTATCGGGCTCCAGTGTCTGGTACTTGGTAAACCCTTGGTGCTTTTTGGTTCACGTGAACATAGACTGGGGATCAGGAAGGCAGGGTGCTCTGGGGGGAGCCAGGCCCTGTGGGCCCCCAGGTTCCCACGTTTCTTTTCTCCTCCCCTCCCCCACCCGGTTTACTTTCCCTTAGGAGAACTCTGACACCTTCCTCTCCGCTGTGGACACAGACTGGAAGGTAAGTCAAAGCCCAGCCTCCTGAGCTGTGGGACCCCCTCTGCCCAGCTGTTCAGACCCCAGGGGAGATCACTGATCTCTGTGTGCCCCACATAGTGGCGGGGGGGGGCACCTTAGCCTCGGGGCAGCCATAACTGCTCCCCCCCCAGCTGTGTCTGCCCAATGAAGGTGCCTGAAGGGGAGGTGGGGGGACCATCTGGAGTCCTGGGGATGGTGGGGATAGAGAAGGCAGTGAGGGATGTTGCCCTCTGAATCAGCATTTCCCCCAGTGAAAGCCAGGTTGCCTCTGAAATAGCTCCTGTTGCCATAGCAGCGGTTGCCCAGGCGACCATGTCCTCTTTGATTTCAGATTCTCCATTGAACACTGAACTTGCTCTCTGTTTCTATTCCTCCACAACGATGATGTGGCTCTCTTGGTTTTGCTCCTTTCTCCCCTCTAAGTCCCCTAGTGACCGATCATCTCCAGGTGTCAGGAAATGTCTAATAGCACACTCCATGTGAACCTCACCAGCCTCCCCGAGCCCACTGGCTATCCAGATGGGATGGTAAATTCATATGCTTCCTGCTGCCCAGATCGATGGAGCCCCTAGGTTACTGCTGTGTCTCCACCTGACCTCTCTCTGGGTCAGTCTCCAAGCCCCATGACTAGAGCAGTCAAATGGCTGCTGGACCTGGGGTGACGTCTGGCTCCTCCCCTCTCCCCCCCCAAGCTGCTTCCGGCCTGCATGCTGAGTCCATGGTCACCCCCTTCTCTTCAAGGACAGGAAGCTCGGCTCCAGAGCAGACTGGATGCACCTGCCCAGACAAACCCGTCCCTCCCATGCTATCTCCAAACTCAGAGAGCAGAGGATGGGATTCAGCAGGGTGAAGAGGGGGCGGGGAGGGGGAGATGATGGGACACCCCCCCCCAGGAGGAGGAATGGGAGCTCTAGCAGCTTGAAGTTGCTGGAAATCACAGCAGGCCCTGCAGCCACCAGCCTGTTCTGTGCTGTGCTACACAGAGCCCAGCACACAGCCTCTGTGGGCAGGGATGGAGGGGACCCCCTCCCCCCACTCCCTGCTCTCCCAGCAACCCACACCCAGGGCATCCACCGTGGTGGGCGGGAGCCTGAGGGATTGAGAAATACCTTCCTCTCCGTCCTAGTTAGGGTACACTACATCCAGACAGCTTTCTTCATTTATTTTAAAGGAAGTGCCAAGGCAGGGATTTCACTCCCCTCCCTCCCCTCTTTCTCAGTGACAGGCAGGTCACTGTCCCTGGCCTCCGTGGCAGAGACCAGCAAGCATCAGACACACTTGGATCGTCCAGGTCCTGCCTGGCTATTTACCAGCTGTGTGACCTCTAGCAGAAGTCACCCTGCTCAGCTGCCTCATTTATTCCCTGACACAGGCAGCTCAGACATCGCTGAGCTTGTGAGGTAACGGTGTCCACAGGCCTAGAGGTCCGACCCTTGAGGGATGGTGACAGGCGGCCACCGGAGCATGGAGTGAAGGCACACTGTCTGGGCGCTGGTCCGAGTTTTCTAGTTGTGTGATCTTGGGCAGGTTACCAGCCTTCTCCGAGCCTCATCTGGCTCACTGGAAAAGTGGCTGCTGAGAGCATGAAAAATAAAAAAAGGCAACAAGTATAAAGTGCCCTAGAGCAGCCTGGTAGGTGGGACACATCCCAAGTGTTTGCTCTTCTGAATGCTGTGACCTCAGGCCCAGAGTGCTGATATCACCTGAAACAATTCCCTAACTTCTCTGTGCCCCCACCATCTACTCCTTCGCCTTGGCGTAAACACCAAAGGATGGAATGGGGGAAAGCTTGGGGGTGGGGCAGCTTGGGGCCCCAGGCCCGTGGATTTGAAGCCAAGAACTGAGTAGAGAGGAGAATGGCTGTGGCTTGGACAGGACTGTATCAGGTGACTCCCTGGGTACCAGGGAGAGGAGCAAATGGGGAGGGCAGAGGTGGGGGTGGGTGAGGATGGGGTGAGACTCCACCGAGAAGGGTGGGAGGGGCAGGCAGGGCTGGACAGACAGGCTGGGCTTTGCAGTGCCCCAACTCTCCCTCCAGGCATGGACGGGATGTGAGGGGCTCCCCTGTGTCCACACCCCTGCCCTGCCGGGATGAGGGACCCAGCCTCATAGCTAGAGGTCAGAGGTGGAACAGGGAAACGTTGTTGATGCTCCAGGCAGAACACAAGGCCAGGAATAGGGCACAGCCCCATCACCTGGGGCCGGGAGCTGACTGCCCTCCCCAGGGGCAGCCTCCTGCACACGCGGCTGTCAGCTCAGGCTGGAGCCAGAATGGCCTGTTTCTCCACCCAGGAGACAGAATGGGGGCACTGATCCCCAGCCTTCCCCTCCCCCTTCCCTCCCCGTGGAGTCTGAGATGGCTTTGTGCTTCCAACTCCCCTGAGGCCTGGCAACTGAGCACCCTGCTGATTGGCTACCGAAGATAACCCAGTCAGCTGGGACAGGCTGCCTCTTGACCCTCATCTTGTTCCCCGGTGGCCCCTAGCCCCTTTGGGGGGGGGGGAAGAGTAGGAAGGGCAGAGCTGGTAGTACCCTGCTCCTGCAGTCTGCCCAGCACCCCTCCCCCAGTCCTCCATGCAGGCAGAGTAGGAACTGCCCAAGGGGGAGGGAAGCCAGTGGATGGAGAAGGATGGCCCAAGTGGTTTTCAACATGCAGAGACCTTCCTACACTCACACCCCAACTCTCCTCAAAGACCCGGGCCTTTCTGCTGAGGACCTGGTCTGAGGGTCTGGTCCCCAGGATACCGGGCTCTTGTACTCCTAGGAGATAGGTCAAGGGCTCTGCAGGTCCGGGCCCTGCGTGTGAATCCTGCCTTGTTCTGCTCTGTCTGGGTTTGTGTGCATGGCCTGGGGGGATGGGCAGCTTCAGCTAGTGGAGAGTACCTAGGCATTGGGACCAGGGGAACTAGTTCAATACCTGACGTTGAGGCTGAGCTGAGCATCCCTGATGCTGAGACCATCAGGATGCTGGGAGCTGGGAGGAAGGAGCTGGAAGGAGGGTGGGCTAAGCAAGAACCTCAGAAGCCAATTGGAGCCAGGTTTGTCTCCCAGTAGCCAATCTGGGAGTGACTGCTCGCTGCCAGCCAGTGGCTGCTCAGAAGCCTTGCAAGGAGGCGGGGCCAGCTTGGGCGGGCCAGGATCTGTGAATAAATGGCCCAGAGCCCCGCTGAGCTCCATCACAGAGCCGCTGGTCTCCCACCCGAGCTGTCCCCTCCCTCCAGACGCCAGTGACTCAGGCTTTTATTTGCTCTTCCTGCTCAAGCAAGCTCCCTCCCTTGGCAAGATGCCGGAGTGCTGGGATGGGGTGAGTGAGGGGCCAGGGGAGGGGGGCCACGAGATAGGTAGGGAGGACAGCCATCCTTGTGACCTGCAAGAGGGATGCGGCATCCCTCTGCGCTTGTCTAGTGCCTTCTCCCATCCTCCTGCTGATCCTGGTCTGCAGACGTAGCTGGGGACAGCTGCCAGTTAGGCCTGGGAAGGGCATGGAAGGGAGGGGTGAAGTCTGCGGTACGTAATCAGTATTCAGTGTATGCCCATCCCATGCCCTACTGCTCTGTGCCTTCTGCTGGGCATGTGTCTGCTGGTGTGGTGTCCAGGTGTTGGGGTCTAGCCCAGCCTGGTGCACAAGGCTCCCCTCTCTGGCCAGTCACTAGCTTTTCAAGGCCCTGCCTGCTAGTTCCGGGCCTGTCTCTTGGGGGATTGTCTGGGGGTTTGGATTGCTGTGGCAGGTGCCCATGGAAGGACAGATGGACTGTTTTCCTTAGGAGTTGCCTGTGCATCCCCAGGGCATGGGGGGAGGGGCAGGGGACAGAACGACATGGAGGTCAGTGTTTTCAGAAAGGAGGTACGATGGGAGGAGACAGACTAGGAGGGTCCCCCCGCCCCCCGTGCCTCGGTCGGTAAGCTAGCGAGGCAACACTGTGAGGGGTGGGGACCTGGGCTTCTAGTACAGCGCCTCCTGCCCTTGGAGGGGCAGCAGCTGGTACCCAAAGCTCCAGTTCTTCCTCAAGGAGGGAGAGACAAGGGCAGACCTGTCTCCCTGCCCTTCGCTGCTTCGGGGTGAATAATTAATGGGGCTGACAAATCTCAGCCCCAACAGTACCACCCCTGATGCGCCAGAGCCCCAGCCATGCCCACCCCCCAGTCAAGGTCACTGGCAGGGAAGACAAGCTGTGGGGGATGGCAGAGCCCCCTCCCCCGCCGCCTGCCGCAGTGCATCCCGCAGGTGCCCACCTGGGGGCGGGGCCGGCTCTGACGTCACCGGGAGCCAATGGGAACGCTCCACCCTGGGAGTTGGGGGTCTCAGAGCTGCGTGAGGCCGCTGCCCTTGGGCTGTCCCCCAACACCTTGGGCAGCATCTAGGGAGAGGGGGAGCTCAGCTTGTCAGGCTGAACTGGGTCAGAGCTCCTCAGGCAGGGTCGTGCATGGGGTGCTGGACCGATTGGGGGAGATCTTAGGGAGGAGCAGCCAAGGTCACTAGGCCTGGGGACAGATAAGCTGGTCTTCCCCCCTATCCCCCTCTTCCTCCACACCCCTGTGGCCTGTCCAAACCTAGCCCTTCCTAGCCCAGGAAGTAAACCTTAGTAGGCTCAGCTCTGCTGCCCTAGGGGACCTGGACTGCCACCCCAAGGCTAGGACGGGACAGACGGTGACCTCAGCAATGGAGGGTGGAGGTTTGGGTTTGGAGGGTGCCCTGGGTCCCAACATCTGCCCGGAAGAGCTTGAGCTACCTGACCCAGAGGCCTGCCCACTGCAGCTGGTCCCTGCAGCGAGTATGCGCGATTGCTCCACCCAGCCCCTCCCTCCAGAGGCCTGCGAGGTGAGTGGCCTGGACTGCAGTGGGCCCCAGCAGGGACGGCAGCTATGGAGAGTGTCTGCATGCTCAGGATATCTCTTGGGTAAAACTCAAAATCCACTCCAGAAAGCCCAGCTCGCGGTGTGGGGCCCAGGCCCCTGAGGGCACGCCTGCCCCCCCCCCCCCCCACCTTCCAGGGGCTGGGCTCAACTTTGGCCAAGGCAGATAGCTCCCTGGACTTCCGTTTCCTCCTCTGGCTTGTGCCTGAGTGAGGTGGGAATGAGGTGACATGTACATATGAGGGAGGCAGGCCTAGGAGGCTGCGGTGGGTTAGACCTGCTGGAGGACTACAGGGAGCAAAAGCAAAAGCCAAGCAAAACAAAAAACAGGTTCCCAGCCGAATATGGCCTTTAAACATGGTATTGGAACCATCTTGCCACTCCCCACTGGGGACAGCCCGTGCTAGCTGTCCTCTGAAAGCAGACCCTGGAAAGCCCGAGAAGCATCTCCAGCCACCCAAGTCCCCCTTTCTGAACCCAAGTGTTTCCATCTGCAAAATGGAGATTAGGGTTCATTCCCTCTTCCTGAGTAACAGAGGACCGCGCGCACATGCTGGTGCTTCTGGCCAGCTGCTGTTTCTCCCTGTCCTTGAACCCAGCCCCACCTTGCGCTCTGAACCACCTGCTCTAGCATGGCGGCTCCCTTCCATTCAGGCCGGGCTGCTTACTCAGCTCTGGCAGGCCCTCTTGGGGTTTCCTGATTAAGTGACCAAGAACAATTCATCTGTAAAGGGGCATCTCCCCAAGGCTCAGGAAGCACAGCAGCCTCCTCTCAGGGATAAGATGGTAGCTGAGGAAGTCCTCATGAGATGGCCCCCCAGGGAAGAGGGGAGACAGTGAGGGGGCCAGCCAGTCCTCCTGAAAGCCTAATGATCTGAGCAGCGAAGCCAAGCAAGAGTGAGGACTCAGGATGACCCCAGAGCAGAACTGCAGGCGGGAGCCCCCAGGGGGGCTTGGAGCACGGGGAAGAGCATTCAAGGTGGAGGGAGGTGCAGGGAGCTGCAGGAGCTAGAGCCCAGGGTGGGAGCCAGGGGCGGGTGTGGGGTCCCAAGCAGGGCGTGGCTGGCCAAGGGGTGTTTGCTGTGGAATCCGGCAAAGCAGCCGTGGTCATTCCTCTTCCAGAGCAGGGAGCCCTTGAGGGTTCTGAGTGGGTGAGGGGCTTGGGCTGTGGTGGTAGGACAGCATGAGTGGTTGCAGTGAGATGGGAAAAAATGGCCTCTCCTGGAGGGCTGAGTCTGCACTCAGCAGGGCCTGGGCACTGGCAGCACAGTGCATGGGCTGGATTGCAGCGGAGACCAGCACTTTCCATGCAGTCCATGTTGGTCTTCTGCTAGACACCCCTGAGTAAGGGGGCTCCATTGACTTGAACTCTGATGAGACCCTACCATCGGCCCAGCAGCTTTTAGACTGCCTGGCCTCCGCATTCCCCAGAAAGCCTGGGGCGGGAGCAGCCCTGTAGCCGGCGGCGCTGTGTGTCTTGCCTAGGAGCACGATATCGAGACGCCATATGGCCTACTGCACGTGGTGATCCGGGGCTCCCCCAAGGGGAACCGCCCAGCCATCCTCACCTACCACGATGTGGGCCTCAACCGTAAGTACAGCCCGGCCCCCTCCTGGCCTGCGGCACCCTCAATCTGCCAAAGTGGCCAGGCCTCCCCTCCCTCCACACCAGGCCTGACGACCGCTGCGCAGGCTTGGCTCTGTGGCTCAGCGGCCTTCTGCCCCCTGTCCTCTGCAGACAAGCTGTGCTTCAACACCTTCTTCAACTTCGAGGACATGCAGGAGATCACCAAGCACTTTGTGGTGTGCCACGTGGACGCCCCCGGACAGCAGGTGGGGGCGTCACAGTTCCCTCAGGGGTAGGTAACCCGGAGCCCCTCCACCCACCCTCCCCAGCCCCGCACCCTAGCTGCACCCAGGCCCTGACCTCTGTGCTGCCTTCAGGTACCAGTTCCCCTCCTTGGAGCAGCTGGCCGCCATGCTCCCCAGCGTGGTTCAGCACTTTGGGTGAGTTCTCATCTCCCCCAGCCACGGCCCCCGCGTCTAGACTAGGGCTAGAAGTACCCACCAGGTACTTCTACTGGAGCCTCAGCCACCTGGCTCCAGTAAAGGCCTGGTGGGCAGGGCCTCGCTGGCGGGTTTCTGGGAAATGACACCCCAGCCCTAGAGTAACCAGCCCTGCTCTGTGCTAGGTTCAAGTATGTGATTGGCATCGGAGTGGGAGCCGGAGCCTATGTGCTGGCCAAGTTTGCGGTGAGTCTCCTGCCCCCACCCAGAACCCCAGCTCCAGTGGAAAAGGGGGCTTCTGCAGCGAGGGACTCTCTCTGGTTTTTCTGCTACCTTTTCTCCTCCTTTTAATTTTTCCTCACTTAAAAACAAAACAAAAGAAGCCATTTTCCATCAAAGGAAGCTAACTTTCAAAAATTCAAGAGGTGATATCTCAGGCTTCCTTCAGAAACAATGAACCTCAACCTCTTGCTTAACCTTTATGCAGGGTGGGTGTGTGTCTGTGTGTCTGTCTGTGTGTCTGTGTGCGTGCACGCGTCCTAGGGCTTGAACTCTGGGTCTGAATGCTGTTCTTTAGCTTTTTCACTCAAGGCTAGAACTCTAACACTTGAGCAACCAGCTCTCCTTCCAGCTTTCTGGTGGTTAAGTGATGATGAGAGTCTCGTGGACTTAGGAAAGTTCGAAGACTACGCAACTGGGATCCCCAGATCTTAGCCTCCTGAGTAGCTAAGATTAAAAGCATAAACCACCAGCATTCAGCTCAAAATTTCTACTAGCAACAAAATATGCAACTAATTGCCTGCTCTCCAGAGTTGTTGGTGATACAGAGGTGGCATTGAGGTCACCTATTAAAGTGACATTTGAACATTTGACTTTTTAAAAAATTTGATTTGTTTTGTTTTTTTGTTGGGCTTGGGGCTTGAACTTGGTGGGGCCTGGGTTCTGTCCCTGAACAATTTTTGCTCAAGGCTAGCATTCTACCACTTTGAGCTGTATAGCACCACTTCTGGTTTTCTGGTGGTTCATTGGAGATAAGAGTCTCACTGACTTTCCTGCCTGGGCTGGCTTTGAACCACCATCCTCAGATCTCAGCCTCCTGAGTAGTTAGGATTCTAAGCATGAGCTATCAGCACCTGGGTCGTTTGACTTTTTTGAAGTTAAAAAAGTATACTATAGGGCTGGGAAGGTGGCTCAGTGGTAGAGTGCATGCCTTGCATGCATGAGGCCCTGGGTTCAATTCCTCAGCACCACACAAGCAGAAAAAGCCAGAAGTGGAGCTGTGGCTCAAGTGGTAGAGCTCTGGCCTTGAGCTGAAGAGCTGAGGGACAGTGCCCAGGTCCAGAGTTCAGGCCCCACAACCAACAACAACAACAACAAAAATTATGCTATATTAACCTCATGAAGTCTGTGAAATCTAAAAAAACATAATGCAAGTCAGGAAAGCTTTGTTTGTTTTGTCTTTTTTTTTTTTTTTGCCAGTCCTGGGGTTTGAACTCAGGGCCTTAGGCATGTCCCTGAGCTTCTTTTTGCTCAAGGCTAGCACTCTACCACTTGAGCCACAATACCACTTCTGGCTTTTTCTGTTTATGTGATACTGAGGGATCATGTGGGCTCCATGCATGCTAGGCAAGCATCTACCACAAAGCCACATTCTCAGCCCCAGGAAGGCTTTTTATTTCTAAAATCACAGATGAAATCTTCAAAGAGAATCTTAAAATCTTTACATAGAAATAATCAAGGATTTTAAAATCCTGTTTTAAGCCCTGTACACCACCACTGTTAACTATAGACTTCTCCAAACCATGCAGACAAACCCAATGGGGCGTAGTATTGTGTGAATTTTGTCATTGAGCAGAAAATGCAGATCTTAGCCTGGCAGCTCCATTGGCCCACACTTGTAATCCTAGCCACTGAGGAGGCTGAGATCTGGAAGATCATGGTTTGAGGACAGCCTTAGCAGAAAATTCTGCCAGACTGTATCTCCAAATATAACCAGCAAAAGAACAGAACTGGAGACAGCTCACTTGAGCTATGTCTAACAAGCCAGAGGCTCAAACCACCCCCCCCCCCAATGAAAAAGGCAGCTATTTCCCCAGTGTTTAATATAAAACAGGCCCTGAAAAGAGCAGTTTCTTAAATTATGTCACAAGGGCTTCATTCTCCTTGGTGGTACTGGGCTTTAAACACTCAAAACATCATGCTTGCTCTATTGCTGCGCTGTGCCCCCCAGCCCAGGTAGCTGGGATTACAGGCCTGTATCACCATGCTCGACTAAGGTCTTTATTTTGTATAAAAGTAATCAGACATACTTAACGTGTTTGCGTATTTGTTTATGTAGTTGGGAAGTTAATTATGCACTGGGATTTGAACTCAGGGTCTCATGCTTCCTAGGTGAGTGCTCCCACTTGTCTAGCCCAAGGTTTTAAGATGTTTAGTATTGAGTTTTGCAGCACTACTTTCAAAAATGTATTAAAGGGGTTGATGATGTGGTTTCATGGTAGGATGTTTGCAAAACCATGGATGCATGAGGTCCTGGGTTCAATCCCTAGCACTGCATTAATTAATTACTTAATTAAATGTGGAGGTGGTCTGAGCTGGGTCTTGGAGCTACTGTGGAAGGGAACATGCAAGACACATTGGTCGTCCTAGAGCGTAAGGGACCATGGTTACCAAGGCAGTGGAGGGTTGGATATCTCCACCTGAGTTAGCAGAGTGAGTTTGGTTATTACACAGCCTAGGAGAATACATCATTCCAGCTGGGCAAGAGGACTTGGAGAATGTCCAACTGAGCTATAGTTCCTACGAAGTGACCTGTCCCCCCCCCTCAAAAAAAAAATAGTACTAGCCAGGTGCCAGTGGCTTATTCCTATAATCCTAGCTACTCAGAAGGCTGAGATCTGAGGATAGCTGTTCAAAGTCAGCCTGGGCAAGAAAGTCAGTGAGTCTCTCTTTTTTGTGTGTGTGTCAGTTGTAGGTCTTGAACTCTTGGGCCTGGGTGCTGTCCCTCAGCTCTTCATCTCAAGGCGAGCGCTCTACCACTTGAGCCACAGCAACACTTCCGGTTTTCTGATGGTTAATTGGAGATAAGAGTCTCCACTTTTTCCTGCCCAGGCTGGCTTTGAACCAAGATCCTCATATCTCAGCCTCCTGAGTAGCTAGGATTACAGGTGTGAGCCACCAGCGTCCAGCTCAGTGAGACTCTTAGTGGCGCTGTGGCTCAAAGGGGTAGAGAGGCTAGCCTTGGGCAAAAGAGCTCAGGGACAGTGCCCAGGCCCTGAGTTTAAGCCCTACAACCAACCAAAAGAAAAAAAAAATGGCCTGTCCCTATCTTGGGGGCTATTGACTGTTCATAGCAATAATAATACACAAATAGACACACTTTGTGGGTACTTGGGTTTTGAGCATGGATTTCATGTTTGCTATGCAAGTGTTCACTGTGCCAGTTCTTTTTTATTTTTTACTTTCTTTTTCTAATAGGGTCTCCAAAGCTTGCCTGGAACAGAAACTCTCCTACTTCTGTCCCCATAACTGTTCATTGAGAAGGGATTTCACTAACTTTATGTTTACTTAATCTGGCCTCTAACTTCCTACTTCTCCTCCCAAGTAGCTGGGTTTACAGATAGGAGCCACCGCACCTGGACATGCTGCCCTTTCAAAGGGTGGAAGACATTGATAGAAATCAATGATATCATTATGTAGCCTAGGCCAGCCTCAAACTCCAGATCTTCCTGCCTTTGCCTCTGTAGTGCTGGGCCTGCAGACCTGTGTCTCCATATCCTGCACAGTAAATCAGAGCTCAGCATGGCTGCTACAGCCAGCTGCTCCTCAACGGCCTCTTTAGATGTGAAGTGTTTTGCCACAGTCCCACCTTTCCAGCCATCTGGGAGAAAGGCACGACTGTGATTTTAAAAACTACTGACTCTTACTGAGTAGTTGTACAAAGGGGTCTCAATTCCAGACATTAGGGCTAAATTGACAGCTTTCTAGATGGGGTGAAGGGAGCCTCCCTCCTCCCTTCTCACCCAGCCTCTTCTCCCTGGTCCCCTGCAGCTCATCTTCCCTGACCTGGTGGAGGGGCTGGTGCTAGTGAACATTGATCCCAACGGCAAAGGCTGGATTGACTGGGCTGCCACCAAGGTGAGTGTTAGGGGAAAGGCGAGAAGCATGAAAGCAGGCACAGATGCCGTCTCCACAGACCAGACCCACGTCAATGGATTCCAGTTGAAGAGGGACGCCACGGTGACCTGAGGAGAGTCAGGAGACACGAGGCATGCTGGGGGCAGGCGGACGGGACTTCAGCAGTGTTGGAGGTGGCTGGAGGGTACAAAAAGGCTCAGGACTTGCTTTGCAAGTTTGTGGTTTCAGCCTGAAGTGATTTACACGGGCCTGGTTCCAGACGTCCATTGTACAAACCCACTAGGCAGGTCCCGCTTCAGCCACGTGTGGCCTGCTTTGGGGAATTCAGGCATGGGAGGGGTGGGGGGAGTGGGCTTTCACGTTTTGAGACTGCAGAGGTGGGGGGCCAGGGGAGGCCCCCTGCTCAAGATGGCACCCCCCCCATGCGTCCCCTCCCACAGCTCTCTGGCCTGACCAGCACCCTACCTGACACGGTGCTATCCCACCTCTTCAGCCAGGTAAGGGGGGAAGGGGGGCTTCTGCAGTGCCAGTGGGCTGGGCCGCCCCATCCCTGCTCAGCAGGAGGCTGACATGTCCCTGACTTCTGTGTTTATTTGCGATGAATGGCATTTCCAGGAGCAATGGGGGTGGGAGGCTTCCCCTCCTCTCCCTCCTAAGGCCCCCCCCCCACTGCCCTGCTGAGCCTCTCTGCCCCCCCCCCCCCCGCACCCCTTCCCGGGCCCAGGAGGAGCTGGTGAATAACACGGAGCTGGTGCAGAGCTACCGGCAGCAGATCTCCAACGTGGTGAACCAGGCCAACCTGCAGCTCTTCTGGAACATGTACAACAGGTGTGGGCGCACAGGGGCGGGGTCCCTCCCCTGGCCGCCCCCAGGAGGAGGCAGGGAGAGGGCTAGCCTCCTGCGCAGGGCTCACAGGCTCCGGGGCGGGGGGGTCGCAGGAGAAGCAGGGCTGTGGGTTCTTCCGCCTCTCCCTTGCTGGCTGGGCACTGGGGGTGCTAGGGACCCCCTTGGCCCCAACTTGGAATTCTGGTGCCCAACCTCTGAAGTGAGGAGATGCTTGGGTGACGTTCCTAGCTGTGCTCCTTAGACTCCTGTGGGGATGTCTGGGGGGGGGGGGGACAGCCCTCTCTCCTTCCTTATGTTCGTAATAATTAAGCACCTGGTGGAAAATCTGAATACTTGATAAGCCCCAGCTGGGGCACAGTGCTAAAAACAACTAAGTGAGAACCCTGCCCTGACTTCCACGTGGTCCACGAGATCCACGAGCAAGAGCAGCTGCAGAACCTCCAGCCTCGCCCTGTTCCGAGGGCGTGCACAGCTTGGGGGTGTTGGGCTTGCCCTTTTCCTAACGAGTCCTGGGTTTGCCCCCCTCGCCCACCTCTGCCTCTGCTTCTCCCCTGCAGCCGACGAGACCTGGACATTAACCGGCCCGGGACGGTTCCCAATGCCAAGACCCTCCGGTGAGTGGCCACTGCGCTTGCAGCCGGCCCCTGCCTGTGCCCTGCGCCGGGCCAGACAGCTCTTTTCCTCTGTGCCCACAGCTGCCCTGTGATGCTGGTGGTTGGCGACAATGCCCCTGCTGAGGAGGGGGTGGTGAGTGCGAGGCTGTGTCCTGGGGGGTGGGGGGGATGGGAGGTCAGGGCCAGGAGCTCTTTAGACCTGGACAGCCAGGCCAGCTCTGGATGCAGTCTGGGATCACTGCAGGGTCAAGTGTGGGGTGGTGACCTTCCCTTCTTCCCTGCCACCTTGCCATTCCTGCCCGGTCACTCCCATGGCGCAGGTGAAGGGGCCTGGAAAGTGCGGAGCGCTGGAGACAGGGCTCTGGCCAGGCTTCCTGACACCCCATTCCTCCCCAGCAATGCAGCCTCATCTATGCACTTCAGGCAGGCCCAGAGCTGAAGACCCCTTCTTCTAACATTAGAAAGACCTTTTATGATTTAAGTCATTTACACTCTCAACACTGTTCCCTTGGGCCACCCAGACACCCGGAGATGGGTATGGGCCTGTGTGTCGCCGCTCTCAGTAGCGCTCTGGCCTCAGGCAGCCTGGGGTTGGGCAGAGGTGGGCATCAGTACAGAGCTGCTTGGAGGCTTCGGGGCCTGCGAGTGCTCAGAGCAATTCCAGGTGCCCAAAAAATTCCAGCCTTCCCGTGCCCACAGCCAGGCCCTGGACCTGTACCTGCTCTCTCTTCCTCTCTCCCTCCTTTCTGAGGCACAGACCTACCTTACACACATTGTCCATACCACATCCACACCCACACACACACACACGCGCGCACACACACACACAGAGTGGTACAGGGAGCGGGGCTGTTGCTGCAGCTGAGTCCTGTCCCACAGGTTGAATGCAACTCCAAACTGGACCCGACTTCCACGACCTTCCTGAAGGTGAGCCCTTCCTCTAGCCCCCAGCCAGCCTCCACTGTGGGCCCGGTGGCCAGGCAGGGCCTGCCTGGGCCCCAGGTGTCTGACCCAGCTGAGCAGCTGCCTCAGCTCACCCTGCCCCTCCTCTTGCAGATGGCAGATTCTGGGGGCCTTCCCCAAGTTACACAGGTGAGATTCTTGGCCCTCCTGCTTTTCTATCACCTAGCATGATGGGGTGGGCAGTTGGGAGGGAGGGAGACCCCCCCCTTCCCTGTCACCCTATAAATCCTAGACAGCCAATCAAAGTATGTGACTGTCCTACTCCCCTGCAGCCAGGAAAGCTGACTGAGGCCTTCAAATACTTCCTGCAAGGCATGGGATACAGTAAGTGCACCCCCACCCACACTGGGCAAGGGCGGGGCAGAGGGGCGGGGTGTCTACCCTGACTTCTGGGTTGCCTGGGCCCCAGACCCTGGGCTGCGCTCTCCAGACTCCACCCACACTGTAAGGAACTTATTCAGGCCGGGCCTGGACATGGGCACTATTCTGAGGGCAGTGCTGGGCCTGCTGGGAGAGGACTCTTCTTCCAGCCCCCGGGGCCGGGGGCCTGGGCTGGGTCCTGCCAGGGAAGCTCATTTGAGGTGAGCCACCCTCCCCTGCTGGGCCTGCATCCCTGGTGGAAGGTGGTATCTAGGGCCACCACAGGGAGTAGGTTTGGAGTCTAGGGACCAGGGAAGGTAAGTGGGGATTCCCGTTTGAGTGTTAGGACCTGAGGACACACTGTGTCGAGACCAGTTTCCTGTTCCCCTGTGTTTCCTCAAACTTCCCCCTGGGCAGCAATGATGAGATGGACACCGTGCCAGCCGGCCCCTCACTCATGCATATGGTGACTGCTTTGTTCTGATGGACGCTTATCCCCTCCCCGCAACACGCAGCTACTCCTCCACCACCAGGAAGCCAGCTTCTCCCTAACTTTGCCTGCTTCCCCAATCCCCACAGACTTCCACCCTGGAGCTCATGCCTGCAGGGAGCACTGATGGGGGAGGCTGGAATTCCTCTGACCCTGGGGCCTGCCAGCCTCTCTGGGAAGGAGGGCAGAGAGGCGGGAAGCACAGCCAGGGCCCTGTGCGTGTGATGCAGCTCTGTGAGCACTTGAGAGGAGCGAGCAGCCCTGGCAGGACGCCCCTCTTCTCCCCCGACGGCCCAGGAGTTAGGAGGGACTTTCAATATTTGCAGGCCTTTCCCATCTTGTATATGGACCCAGAAGAATGGCGAGAGCTCTGGAATTCGGATGTGGGCCTGGGGGGTTAGGGGACAGGGAGAGCCGGGCTCCTGCTGTTAGGGCTCCCATGGGCCAGATTGAGATCCGCCCCTGCTGACGATCAGGGCTGGAGCTCAGGCAGCCTGGCCCCTCTGGGCTTTTGGAGGCCGAGCCCTCCTTGGTCCTGTCCATCTGTCTTGTCTTCTTGGCCTGTTCCAGTACCGCTGCCTGGGCCTGGCCCCGCCCTGATCTGTGTCTCTTCCCTGTCCCCACCCCCCTCTCTGGCTCTGTCTTCTCTCTTAGTTGCGTACTTGAAGGATCGAAGGCTGAGTGGAGGAGCAGGTAGCCCCATGGCCCCTCTCCTGATGCATGGACACCCCTCCCAGCCGCGCCTCCCCCTCCCCCCCCCTTGCTCCTTCTGTGCAGTGCTGCAGCCAGGCCGCATCTTGCTGTGGTTTAGAATTTTGTGTTCTTTTCAACTCAGAACCCCAGTGGACTCCTGCTCTTCCACACACCCAGAGCCACCCTGGGCTGTGTCTCATTTGGAGGTTCGCTATTGGCCTTGCTGAGCTGCTACAGGCTGTGGGACTTTCAGAGCTCTGGGAGTTAGAAGCAGAACCTCCTCAAATGTAGTCAGGCCAACCTTGCAGGCACTGTATGTAGCCCCGGCCAAGCCGGGCGGGTGGAGTTCAGAAGGGTAGTATTACTTCCTCAGGCTTCTCAGCTGCAGGACTGAGAATTAAGGTCAGAAGCAGAATCCAAGGCAAGCTGGGAGCCAGGACGCCACATCTTCTTTAGAGAAGCCATCCGGCCTCCCGCCCATCATCCTCTTCACAGAGGCCTAGTTGACAAGACAGCCCATCCCCGCTCACCACAAGGGTGCCTGGTTCAGTGCCCACCCAGTCCCAGCCATAGCTGGACAGCCACTGGAAGGCAGGCCCTTGCTGGCCACAGCCCCTTCCGTCCAGTCACCGCGGCTGGCTCTGCATGCCACAGGCCTGAAGGAGCCCAGTCCCATGGCTTTGGGCGGGCCTCTCTGCCATCGTTAGGCTGGGTCTTGCTGGCCGCTTCGCTTGCATTTTCCATGTCCTACCTGCTGGTGCCAGGTCCTACGTGCTGGTCCTCACACTTGTTCATTTGCGTCCACAGTGCCCTCTGCCAGCATGACCCGTCTGGCACGCTCTCGCACCGCCTCCCTCACCAGCGCCAGCTCGGTGGAGGGCAGCCGCCCACAGGCCTGCACTCACTCGGAAAGCAGTGAGGGGCTGGGCCAGGTCAACCACACCATGGAGGTGTCCTGCTGAAGCTCATGGTCCTGCCCAAGATGCCCACCTAGCGGGGTCCCCTGCCACCCCTGCGCCGGCTCATTGTTCCTTTAGTTTCTTTTTGTGAGGGTAAAGGGGAGGAGATGAAGGTTGTTTTTCTTTTTTTTTTTTAAACGAGGGGATCCAACTTGATGCTTGCAGTAGAACAGTCTGAGATGGTTTGAGGGGCATCTCCTCCTCCCCAGCCCGTCTCCCCCAGTGCGTTCATTTGGCTGATGCGCCTCCTTACCCCCCCCCCCCACTCTGGCACTGTGAGGGGAGCCTTGGACAGGGCCCGAGTCCTCTAAGAACGGAGGCCAGCAAGAGCAGGGGTAGGAGGAAGACCCCCGGCAGGCAGGTTTGAAGATGGGCGCAGTTTTGAGATGGTGGATGCTGAGCTCACACTCCCGATGTGGGGGACAGGAGGCTGCAGCAAGGAGCCCCGTGCCTCTGAAGGCCTCTTCCCCTCAACCCCTCCACCACCAAGCACACTTTGCAGTTTGTAGTACAGGTGACAATCATGTGGATGGTAACCACAAGGGGGCGCTGTGATGGGGACAGCCATTTTCCTGGTGCTCTCTGGGACTGAGATGAAACATGGAACCCCGGACAGAAAGTCCAGTGCTTTTCCTCTTCCCCACTCCCCTCCCCACACATACTCTGCCACCTTCTGGCCCTCTCCCATCCTGAGCCAGGGTGTCCTAGCAGAAATCACCTGCTTTTGTCTTCCTAATGACCTGGGACAGAGGGATAGTCAGGGATTGCTCCTGTGCTGTGTGTAGCTGCTGAGAGATTTGAGATAAAATGGCCGGTGACTGAGAGTCCTGTAGATGCCCCGTTGTCTAAGAGGCCAAGCCACGTGGTAGTCACCTGGTGTTTCCCGGTAGAGCCCCGGTCAAGCTGTGCCAGTGAGTCCTGCAGCCATCACTAGGGAAACAAGTTGACTGGCGAGATCTGGTTCAAGACAAGATACCACCCACCTTTGGCCACTGGAGTAGGTTGGGATTTGCTGGGTCCTGCATTGGGAAATGAAAGTCCTTGAACAAGGGCCAGGCAGAAGAGAAGGGCTTCCCATGCACTCCTGGCTCCCGCAGCCCAGGACTGTGCCCTCTACTCCCCTACCACCCGGTTTACCAGGGAGAATCTCCCAGGCCCCCAAAACAGAGCCCTTGTCCCAGATTCTCAACCCACTGTCACAACCCGACAAACAGGACACACTGAAAAAAATGAAGGGCTGTAAGGGAGAGGGGAGGGTTTGTGTGGGTTTTTATAGGGGGTGTTCTGAGGCCAAGAGGTCATTTAAATCCACATTTCCTGGCACAGGCCACTCTTCTATACTCTTAAGCCATTACTAGACTGCTGTAGAGCCTGGTGGAGTGTATTCTTAGTTCTGTTTGCTCACGTGCTTTCTTTGAATATTGAATGTGACTGTTTAAAACTGATAGAATTAATCCCTCTTACTGTAGATAGCACTGCGAGTATTTGATTTCTTTCTTGCTGTGTTCTTTCAGATGAGATATCTATAAATATCTATGCTATATATATAAATGTATATTGAGTCCTCCTGTGTGTGGTTTTTCCATTGGAGGCTGTCTCTTTGATCAAGGTGAACTTTAATGGAGTTTATTATTTTCTTCTCTGTACAAAGAGCCTAATTTTGTGTATTATGGTGGCTCATGTCATGAGGCTTGGAGATGACAAAATGTCTAACAACAAAAGCCCTTGTCTATGTAGAGAGAGTTGACTGTGCTGACAAACTAATAAAAGACACTAAGAAGAGCTTGAGTGTGGTGATGCCACGCTGGAGTCTTGAGGCTACTGCTTGGGCTTAGGTTCCGGGAAGGGGCCACGGGAGGACAGGGATTGTTTCCAGCATTCAGCACACAGAATCTTATTAATCCTAACATTGATTCTGCAAGGGCAATATCTCTATTTCACAGCTGAGGACTCTGAGCTGAAGGATGAAGAATTTGCCCAATAAAAGGCCAAACTGAGCGTTCGCTCTGGCATTATTTGGCTCATGCCCATAACCTTCTCTTTGATGCCTCATTTTCTTAATGGCATGCTTTGTCAACATGTTTAACCACTGTTTGTCTCAGAACTTGGTCACTTGGTAAATAATGAATCCTTCCTACATGTCAGCTACTAAAGGAGCAGATGATGATGACTTTTGTACAAAGAGGTTTACAATTCTGTAAGTCAGGTAATGAGCTCAATGATTCTTGGGCAATGTCACCCCTTCCTTCATTCTCCCCTTCCCCTTCTTGTCCTTACCCACAAGTTACAGAGTTTATCTTTTTACATCGTGTATATTGGCTGCAATGATTGCATTTGCCCACCCTCCCTCTGTTCCTGTGTTCCCCTTTGCTCCCCTGAGTAAAACAAGTTTCCACTTCCTGGGATTCATTTTGATAAATAGTACTTCAGATGTTCAGAGGATTGCCCCAAGTATATTCTCCCTAAAGGAATAACTTTTTTTTTTTTTTTTTTTTGCCAATCTGGGGGCTTGAACTCAGCCTGGGCGCTGTCCCTGAGCTTCTTTTACTTAAGGCTAGCACTCTACCACTTGAGCCACCGCACCACTTCCAGCTTTTTGTGTTTATGTGCTGAGGAATGGAACCCAGGTCTTCACGCGTGTTAGGCAAGCACTCTACCACTGAGCCACCTTCCCAGCCCAAGGAGTAACTTTTTTAAAAAGTTACTAGTCGTTCAAAGAGGCTACAACTCCGTAAATCAGATTATGAGCACAATAATGACGGCATTTGCTCACCCTTCCTTTAAAAGGAGTAAAATTTGGGAACTTGCCTTACGGTGTGCAGAAGATGGAAAAAACAAACGTGGGCCGGATTCTAGATCCGGGAACCCTCTAAGCCACACCCCTCCAGGATGCTTTGGGCAAATGACAGTAACCGAGGCGGCACCTACGCCCCGGGGGCGGGGAGGCCAGATTCTGCTGCGGCGCCCAGAGTTCCCGCCGGAGACCTCGGCTTCCCGCACCCTGAAAGGTCGGGTGGTCCCGGCCTGGGAGCCAGGCCTCTTTGCGGGGCACCCCCCCCCCCCCCACGGCGGGCTCGCGCTACTCCGCCCGAAACGCCAGAATCCAAAGGCCTGCTCGAGGAACGTTCCCCGAGGAGCAAGTCCCCGCCCATTCCCCTGCTCACGCGGTTCCGGTCCCGCCCCTCCGCGGCCACGTGGCCCAGGCCCCGCCCGCCGAGGCCGCTGACTGCGGAGCCGCGGTGCGGCCCGAGCGCGGTGGCGGTCGGGGCATGGCGACGCCGGCCAAGCGCCCGCGGGTAAGTGGAGGGCGGCGGGGCGGGCCCCATCGGCCTCGGCCTAGCCCGCCCGAGCGTGGCTCTGCACCCCGTCCCGCGGGCTCCGAGGGTCCCCTCTCCTCGGGCGCGCGCGTCCTCGGCCCCCGCGGGCCTTCCGGGGCGCGGCCGCGTCACGGGCTCCCTCCTCCCAGGTCGGCGGGCCGGGCTCGGACCCCGTGGCCGGCTTCCTGCGCTGGTGCGGCCGAGTGGGACTGAAGCTGAACCCCAAGGTGAGCGAGCGGCGCGGCGGGCCCGGCGCGGCGGGGCTCGGGCTGCTCTGACCCGGCCTCCTCCTCGCAGGTGGCGGTGAGCCGGCGGGGGACGGTGGCCGGCTACGGCATGGTGGCTCTGGAGGGCCTGCAGCCCGGGGAGCTGCTGTTCGCGGTGCCCCGGGCCGCGCTGCTGTCTCCGCACACCTGCGCCATCAGCGGTCTGCTGGAACGAGGTGGGCGCGCGGGCCCGGGGCGCCCCGGGGCGGGCGCGCTGCGGCCCGCGAGACCCTCACCCCGTGTCTTCCCCAGAGCGAGCTGCGCTGCAAAGCCCGTCGGGCTGGGTGCCGCTGCTGCTGGCGCTGCTCCACGAGCTGCAGGCCCCGGCCTCCCACTGGAGCCCCTACTTTGCGCTCTGGCCCGACCTGGGCCGCCTGGAGCATCCCATGTTCTGGTAGGAGCCGAGGGAGGCGTGGGGGAGCGTGCTCCAGCCAGTCTGCCGGGGGTCACCAGGTGCGGGGTGTTAAAAGGAGCTGGGCCGGCTGTTCCACTGCAGGACCCAGGAGGAGCGGCAACGCCTGCTGCAGGGCACTGGTGTTCCAGAGGCGGTGGAGAAGGATTTGGCCAACATCCGCAGCGAGTACCGTTCCGTTGTGCTGCCCTTCATGGAAGCCCACCCTGATCTCTTCAGTCCCAAGGTTCGCTCTCTGGAGCTCTATCACCAACTCGTGGCCCTCGTAATGGCCTATAGGTCAGTGAATAGAAATCGGAAAGACCAAACATCTTCAGACTTCTTGAGGGATGGAAAAGAGTAGAACAGCCAAGCCCAACCCCTAGTCTTTAGTTTTAGCCAACTCCTCTCTGGCAGCTTTCAAGAGCCATTGGACGAGGAGGATGAAGAGGAGCCAAACTCCCCTGTGATGGTGCCTGCTGCAGACATACTGAACCATCTAGCCAATCACAATGCCAACCTAGAGTACTCTGCGGTGAGTGGATCACACCTAGTTGTTATGTGTATTGATGACTGAGCATTTGAGCCAAACCACTAACGGCCTTCTACTCTTGTTTGTGTCAAAAGTTGTTTGAATATATTAAGGCTCAAAATTAAGTTATGGAAGCCAAAGGCCAGTGGCTCATGCCTGTGATCCTACCCATAGAGGCTAAGAAGTGCAGTTTAAGTTATATCTAACCAGCTAGCCCTCAGTTAAAGCTGGCACACACACAAAAAAAAGTTGAGTCTTCTGACAAATACTCAGAGTAGCTTTTAGAAGTTACGTTTCACTCCCTGCTGGCTGTTCAGTTGGCCTTGTGGACAACTGCCACAGTTAACAGCATGGAGAACAGGAGTGTTGGTCAGAGATCTAAGATGACCCTATTTTAAGAATCATTCCACTTCTATATCAAGTTGTAAGAAAAGATGTGTGTTTATGGTAAATGCGTATACCCTCAGCACCCAGGAGAACCAAAAGTTTAAGGCTGGCCTACACTACATAGAATACCTTGTCCCCAGAAAACAAGTTTAACAAATGATTTTTTTCGGTTGGTTGTGGAGCCTGGACTCAGGTCTTGGGCATTGTCCCTGAGCTCTATTGCTCAAGGCTAGCGCTTACCACTCTTGAGCCATAGCTCCACTTCTGGCTTTTCAGTGGTTAATTGGAGATGAGTTTCAAGGGGACTTTTCTGCCGGGGCTGGCTTCGAACTGATATTCTCAGATCTGTCTCCTGAGTATACTAGGGTTACAGGCATAAGCCACAGGTAACTGGTCAGGTTTTTTACTAGTGTGAGATCCTCTAGGTCCCCAAAAAGCTAGGATTAAAGTGAGCCACTGATCCCTGGCCTAAGTTCATCTTGACAAGCTAGCATTTTGTAACCATTGAAGGTGACTGAGCCGAGGAGGTACCTAATAACACACAAAGCTGATCTTTTAAAGTTGGGCTCACCTGTGTGATTCTACTGTGCAGGACCTAAGTGGCACTAGATGCAGAAGAATGGGACATTGCAACCTTAGGCCATGGCTGAGCACACCTACTGGAGGCTCTTCCTAAGAGGGGGAGGGCCTTGGAAAGGCCTGGCCCTAGCTTCTCCCTTTCATCCCAGGATTATCTTCAGATGGTGGCTACTCAGTCCATTCCAAAAGGCCATGAGATTTTCAACACTTATGGGCAAATGGCTAATTGGCAACTGATTCATATGTATGGTTTTGTTGAACCATATCCTAACAACACAGATGACACAGCTGACATTCAGATGGTAACTCTTCGTGAAGCTGCATTACAGGGTGAGTTTTGTTACAAATCTTTCACCCTGACACTTGTCTTCTCTGTCCACCCCAGGCTGTAGTAGCTTTGCTAATAGCTGACTTGTTAGAAGAGATTTTTACTAATTTATCTACAGGAGCAAAAAATGCATCTGAAAGGCTCCTCCTGTACGAGCGCTGGGATTTCTTGTGCAAACTGGAGATGGTAGGGGAAGAGGGAGCATTTGTGATCGGGCGTGAAGAGGTGTTAACTGAAGAGGAGCTGACCACCACACTCAGGGTAAAGGGTTGAGAATGGCCATGTTGTGCTGATAAAACACAAGTCATTGTCATAATCCAAGGGCCCCATGGTTTTTTCTTAGGTACTATGTATGCCTGCTGAGGAGTTCAGAGAATATAAAAACCAGGAAGGATGGGAAGAGAGTGAAAGCAAAGGCAGCCTGTGTATTTCCAACATTCCCAAGCTCAAAGCATCATGGAGACGGCTTCTTCGAGACAGTGTCCTGTTAACACTGCAGACATATGCCACAGATTTAAAAACTGAGCAAGATTTGCTTAGTAATAAGGAGCTCTATGCCGGACTCAGCTCAAGGGAACAGCAGGCCTTACAGGTTCGCTATGGTCAGAAGGTGATCCTACATCAGTTGTTAGAACTGACAAGTTAGTATCTTCCTTGTTCCCTGAAGGATCAGTAGTAGTGCTTTATTATAAGCCAATAGTTTGTTGCCTTCAAAGAGGAAAACTGGGGCTTTTGCTTTTATTACTTACCAGAAGGTAAAAAGTGCTAGAATTCACAGACCAGGGAGGTGAGGGTTCACTAAACAATTGTTAATGAATTCTGTAGCTATTCTTCCCTTGGAACCATTGACTTTTTTTTTTTTGAACTTGCATTTCTTGTTGGAGGACAGGACTGGAACTGGAGTTGTTTGCTCAAGATAATATCAAGGGAGTCAGCCCCATTTATGTAAGATTCCAGCTGTTTACTTATGAAGCTTTTTGTGTTCACTAGCCATAACGCCTACCCTCATTAAAGATAAATTATGTAAGTAGGGCCAAGTAACTCATTTTTTTAAACTGGGCATAATTTAGTTTTCCTGTTTCAGCAGTTTCCTCTTGTTGGCACCAAAATTCCTTTGCTTCTTCAGCATTTGAGATCAAGCTAAGATGCACAATAAGACTGCCACCTTCCACATCCCCCCCCCCAAAAAAAGGGGGGGCCTGGGATTTGTTAGGTTAGTAGTAAGGAAGATTATGTTACATACACCATTCAGCAAGGAGTAAGTTCCCAGTGGTCTGCTATGTTTTGGTGTCCAGGCTGTTCACTTTCATCCTGCTGCTGCATGCTATGATTATTGGTTAGTTCCAGTGAGGTTTTGATCTTTTGACTTTAGGTCCTAAGTTAATGGTAAGGGAGGACAATGCCTAATACTAGTTCCTTTTCTCATAGTTTATAAGACAGAGGGATGGGAAAACTTCAGGTCTGGCTTGGTTCTCTCTTGGAAGTGAGTGTTTTCCCCCTCTGTTTAGTTGTACAATGGCCTCCAGGAAGGACACACAAACTGTAAGCTCATAATCTTATGCTCTGATGTACCCATGTTTTAGCAACTTAGTGTGGGTAACAGTAAGAAAATTTTCTACACTAATATGAATTAAGTATTTCTATCATTTGTTTGGAACACTAGGAATGTTAAAAGACATGGAGCTATGTCCTAGAACAAAATGCATGGTATTTAGCTGCCTCTTTATTACAAGGTACTAGTTTATGTACTTGCCTTGAACACATTTTGCACAAACCCAGAAGTTCAGACAAAGGTTTTCTCTTTCATATATTTACACAAGTTCAAAATGATATTCACAGCATCGTCTAAATTTTGGCCAAGTCAAAAAAATGCATTTAAACTTTGGAACGTGCCCACGTAGACAGGAGCCAACCCTCAACAGTGTAGGTGTTGGGGCAGACACCTGAGAACCAAAGGGCTGGGAGAATCAGGAGGAGTTCATCTAACTGGCACCAGTTCCTTCCATTACTTGCTGAGCCTGCTTCTGTCCCATGCAGCACTGTGCAACTGACTGGAATAACCTGGAGAGTAGAAAGAATTACACATTTACTCATGAGGAAAGTTCAAGTTTAATATGCTATTTGCTTTAGCTGCCTTTTTTTTTTTTTTTTTTTTTTTTTTTGCGGAGGGTGGGGGGTGGTCAGTTATAGGACTTGAACTCAGAGCCTGGAATGCTGTCCCTGAGCTTTGCTGCGCAAGGCTAGCACTCTACCAGTTTCTGGTTTTCTAGTGGTTAATTGGAGATGAGTCTCATGGACTTTCCTTCTGAACTGATCCTCAGCTCTCAACCTCCTATAATTATTAGCCACTGGCACCTGGCTCTTTACTTGAAGACAATCTACAGTCCTGCCGATAGATAATTCAACTTACTTTTCGATTTCTGGGGCACAGTGTACAAACTCATGGTTCCAGAACTTAAACGCTGGATTTTTAATCAGCTCAATGAAGGTAATAAGAAGACCCCAAGGATGTGGCCTATTTACAATCAACCGTTCCAAGAGAACCCTAGAAAGAAAAAAATGATAAATGCACAGAGAAAACAGGACCATGCCTTCTGTTCCATTCTTCCTCAATGACGGTCTACCAACTCTATCCTGTGCTTAAACACAGTAGTAGTATGTGAAATATGTCTAAAGCCTCAATACATGGAACTAAAATAATTTAAAATGAAGAAGCTGGGGAAAGGCACCATTTGGACAAAACTCTCACCTTGTGATCTGTTCCTGGATAGCTTCCGTGTTGGCCTCGGCAAAAAGGTACAGCATGGTGCAGCTGAAGTAGTGAGTGTGGCTGTTTGGGTATCGCAGCTGATTTGCAATTGCATTCAAGAAGAGATACCGGCCTAGAAATTAAGGAAACTCAACTTAGGACTAGTTCTGAAAGAACAACATAATAAGAAAGAAAGAAAAAAAAAAAATCAAGCTAGAGATTTACTTTTATTCTTGGCTTTTATCTGTGTTCTCCAGACTCCAAAGTTTTGCTAAGATTTTAAAATACTTTTAAAAGAATAAAAATACTAATATTTTCCTAAAATTGTTCAAGTGTCATTCTTTTGTCACAACTAATACACAGCTATACTTGCATTTTTTTGCCTCTGTGTTCAGACAGCTGTACTATACCCATTCGTGTAATCTCTACCTTTCTCTATATTCAATGACAACAAAAGCCATTGTCCTACTATAATTCACGTTTTTTGTCCTAATACTGCTGCTTGAACTCAAAGCAAACTGGTTTGGCTCTTTCACTCAAGGCTTGTGCTTTATACTACTTTAGCCACATATCTACTGCAGCTCTTGCTGGTTAATTGGAAGTAAGAGTCACACAAGTTTGTCTGCTGGGGCTGCCTTTGAACCTCAATCCTCAGCTTTTTAAGTAGCTAGGATTATAGATGTGAGCTACTTAAATTATCCGAACCTGGCTGATAATTCTTTATACTTGGCTATGTTCTTGAGGGGAGCAAAGGGGGGACTAGAATATGAACTCAGGGACTTTCCTTTGCTATACAAGTACTCTTATCATTTGATCATACCATCTAGCCTGTGGTTTAAAGCAGATTTGTACGGTCAGACTGGCAAGCACAGGGAACTGTACGGTGGGGATGGATCAGTTTCGCTCACCCTCTGTATCTAAGTCCACAGCTAGGTTCTGGAAGATATCCATGTGTGCTGAGTGGGTGATGGTACTCATTGAAGGCGTGCTGCCTTTGTTGTGGATATGTGCAATGGCCTGAGTCCCTACATAGAGCACCAGTGCATTGATGAGCTGGAGGTTGTAGCGATTGCCAGGCTCGTTTGATACCTGTAGGAACAAAATAGAAAACTTACTACCAAAAACCAGTTGGCACCGTAACTTGTAAATTCTTAGACCTCCATGGAAAGCCAAACTGCTCTCAATGAACCTTGTTTACGCTTGTGGGTTTCTTTAAAAATTAGTTCCTTTGGGAGCATATTATCACCACTCTGCTAACAGCACTGCACTAAGGATTTTCAAGTGAAAGCACATACATTCTGTTACAATGTTTGGATAGGAGAAAGTTATGGTTGTCTATGTGGAAAGATTAACTCCAAGTCATTCTACAAAGCAAACATAACCAGAATCCCCTCATTTAGGAAAAGTTTAAAGTACAGAATATAAAGTTATAGTTCAGCTAAGCTTACTGAACCATTAAACTTGGCAACATGTTTTAAAGTCTCTAAGTCAGGCTGAAAATAATTCTAAAATATACTGCACACATCCTAGTGTATAGGAAGTGCTTTCTAGGGAAAGCCGCAGAGTTAAGCCAAACCAGCTGACCTGTAGATTGCTGCGCAGATCAGAGAGAAAAGTGACTGGTGATCGAGTTTTAAGATAGGAATCCAAATCCTTTTTGAACTGAGGTGGCATCACTCCAGTGAAATTGGTAAGAATCCGGGGAGCAATGTTAATTTCACTCAACATGTCCACCTGCCAGAAATTCCAAAAATCACAATTAGAATCAACTGTAGAAGCTAACAACAAATTACACCTATGCTGGAAACCCATACACGTTATACCAAGAAGAGAAGTCTGCAACCTTTTAATCTTTCTGGCCAGTCCTGAGGCACTGTCCCTGAGCTGCTTTTGCTCAAGGCCAGCAGTCATCACTTGAGTCACAGTGTCACGGCTTTTTCTGTTTATGTGTTACTAAGGAATCAAACTCAGGGCTTCATGCATGCTAGGCAAGCACTCCACCACTAAGCCACATTCCTAGCCCCTAAATCAATCAATTATAAGAATCTTTCTATACACACAAAATGAGAGGCACGTATTAAAATATTCTGGTAAACTAAGTCTTGATTCTTTTTCTAGAGAGGTCTAACCTGCAATAGGAACTCCTTTTCCTAAACTTCAAAATGAGTTAAGAAGCAGAATCCTCAGTGAGGTGGACCTTTAAATACAAGCTACACAAAAACACCTATGAAATATGGAAGCTAAGTTCTATTCACTTTGCGGTTCTATCACGTGGTCCCAACAATGCCCTAACACCTAGGCTTAGGTTCTAAAATCATCCCTAAATTTAATACCAAAATAAATATGAAGGCTTGGCACCAGGGGCTTATATACCTGTAATCCTAGAATATTTAAGGAGGAAGAAATCTGAAGGTTGTAGCTCAAAGTTAGGCTTGGCAGGAAAGTCTGGAAACTTCAACAATCCAGCAAAATGCTGGAAGTGTGACAGGGGTAGGGGCTCAACTGGTTAAGTGTTAGCCATGAGTAAAAAAGACAAGCAGAAACTAACCGACTACAGGATACTTAGAGAAAGAAACTACTAACTGCTCTGAACAATTAACACCGTTTATCAAAATAAATACCAGGAAATAGAAACATGTTTTTAAGAGAGAGGATAGTACTGAAGGAGGAAGGGTGAACACAATGCAATTATATTCAGTGTAACTGATAGAAGAAAGAACCTGAACAGTTTAACAGAGTAGGGATAGGAGGAGGAGAATGGAGGATGATGGAAGAGGTGACATTGGCCAAGAAGCTTTGTACTCATAACCTTACTTATGGAATTATAACCTCTTTATGCAGCTACCTACTTTAAGAGAAAAAAAGATAAGCAAGAGCAAGAGGCCCCAAGTGTAAGTCACAGTATCACGAAGAAGAAAGCTGGGCACCAATGGCTCACAACTGTAATTCTAGATTTATTAACATCTGCCAACATCACTATCATTCCCATAAGGATTAATAATCATTATTTCCACGCTAAACAGTACCCTTACCTAATACATTGCGTGTGTATGTTTGTATGTGTTGTGTCAGTTAGCCCCGCTTACCAGGAGATATTAAGTGTAACTTCTTGAACTATTTGAAACATTACCTTCAGATTAGGAGTGAATGGGTCTGGGAGCCTCATGTTTCTCGGGAAGGCACTCAGGATCAAATTTCTTAACTGGATACAATTGGGTGGGATCACATCACAGAACCCATAATGGTAATCACAAAGGAACTCTGGGAAATCATGCAAA